CCCTTCCCAAGTGGGACCCCCCTGTGCAAAGAGACCCCCAGTCTAGGGGGCTGTGCCAGCACCCCCAGACAATGTGTTACAGAAGGACAACACAACAGCAACACAGCAAACATCTATACAGAATGTATTTTCATTATAAAAACCTTCATAAAAACAAAAAGCTTCTTAATTAAATCAAAAATCTTCTTTATAAAAAAAATCTTCTTAAAAAACAATCTTTTTTATAGAAATATCAAACTTCTTAAAAAAAAAGCATCTTCTTAAAAAAACTATCTTCGTACTAAGTACAATCTACTTTCTACAAGACTCTTCTTAGTTAAAATAGTACCTTTCTAATATAATTGATATCCTTAGTAAGAATAAAAAGCTTAATAAAAAAATACTATCTTCTTTAAAAAAAACTCTCTTCTTAGAGAAAAAGAAATTCTTCTTTCCAAAACCCCCTATATTCTTAATAAAGCCTACTACCTATAAAACATATTTATAGAAAAAGAAAAACAATATCTAAAACATATGTACAAAGAACCACTCCATGTCTGGCATGTCCATCAGTCCTGTAAGAAAAGCAAGGGCAGGGTCAGTGCAGTCGGGCCCTGCTGGGTGTTCCCTGTGCCCCCAGCCTGGCACACGCTGGGCACAGCGGGACTCTGGCGCCAGGCCTGAGCCCGGCTGGGGATGGGCATGGCCAGGGCATGGCCAGGACGTGCCTGTCCTGCTGCTGGGGGACTCTCCTCAGCCCAGCACCATGGCCTCCTCCTCATCCTCCTCATCGATGTCCATGTCCTCGATCTCCTCCACCACATCCACTTCCATCTCCTCCTCAAACTCGTTCAAGTCCACCTCCATCTCCTCCTCTGTGTCCAACACGATGTCGACCTCCATCTCTTCCACTGTGTCTGTGCCAGCCTGCAGCAGGGAGCACAACCTCAGAGAGGGGTCCCTGTCCCACACCATCCCCACAGAGCTCCAGCTCAACTGGACAGTTTGGGGGGTTCCCAACTCCATGGAATGTCCCTGTACCATCACTGGGAGGAGGCTGCACATCCTGCTGGGATTGATCAGAAGATCCAAAGTGCAGGCAGACTCAGGACTGATGGATATTGCAGGTAGCAAGTGGGGACACTCCACAGGGAGCAGGGTGAAGGGTCCTCTTGGAAAGAAAGGTCAGGGCAGAGGGAGCGCTGGGAGCTGCTGACCCTTGGCTGGCAGCAGGGGAATGGCTGCGTTGTGCTCGTCACCAGGCACTGGCAGTTCCACATGGAACACAGGCACAGCTCTGGCAGCTCTGATGTCACAGGAGTTGTGGTGCTGGTCCACTGGGTGGGGTGGAGATCATGGCATAATGGAGTCCTTGAATGATTTGGCTTGAGAGGAACCCCAAAAATCATCTTGTTCCAGCCTGACCAGCCTCCCACCAGACCAGGGTTCTCAGAGCCATGTCCAACCAGGCCTTGAATGTCCCCAGGGATGGGGCATCCACAGCCCCTCTGCACAGCCCCTGCCAGGGCCTCACCACCCTCACAGGAAACAATACAGTCCCAACATCAAATCTAACCCTCCTCTCTGTCAGTTTGAGCCCATTCCCCCTTGTCCTGTCCCTGCAGTTCCTGAACAAGAGTCCCCTCCGGCTTCCTTGCAGGCCCCTTCGCACACGGGAAGGTTTCTCCGAGGTCTCCACACAACCTTCTCTTCTCCAGGCTGGACAGCCCCAACTTTCCCAGCCTGTCTCCAGAGGGGAGCTGCTCCAGTCCCCTGAACCCCTTGGTGGCCTCCTCAGGCCTTGCCCCAACAGTTCCCTGTCCTTGTTGTGTCAGGACCCCAGAGCTGGAGGCTGCACTGCAGGTGGGGTGTGCTGAGAGCGGAGCAGAGCGGCAGAACCCCCCCTGCCCTGCTGCCCCCAGGGCTGGGGATGAGCCCAGGACACGGGGGGGGTCTGGGCTGAGAGG